GCAAGTCTGCCAGACCCTGGAAGCTGCCGGACGCTCATGGACAGGTGCCACCAGCTCCTGCCGAACCAGCAGCAGGACCAGCACCACTGGCCCCTGCCGAACCGGCAGCAGGACCAGTACCACCGGCTCCTGCTGAACCAGCAGCACCACCACCCGAGGCGCCAGCCGCGCCCCCATTCACGCGGTGAAGAGCACCAAGACCCGGCTCTAATTAGAGCCGGTCCCACAGCGGGCGCCAGCAGCCACGATATTACAGTAGGCAGACATGCTGCTGAAACTGCTGCAGGGCAACCTGCCTCGAGCGGAGCTGGGAGTTCGGATGGCCACCTCCGACTGCCACAGGTTAGAGTCAGAAGTGGCCGACAGCAAGGTGGAGAGGCACCTCCACCGCCAGCAGCGGGGACCCCTGCTGCACGACTGCGACTACCAGACTGCCACGGTTCGATGCACAAATCAGTCTTCAAAATCTATGAATCCTTGACCCAAGCGTGGTAACACGCGAGCTGCGGAAGCTACACTGGCGTGGGTTTCATGCGAAAGAACCTAAGATGAGACTCGTCTTAACCAAGATAGGTCTGCACAATGTCAGACTCAACCTGATCAAGGGTGTCTGCGACGCATGTCGGGGGCGCAGGGCTTGCGACAAGCCAGGGCATGCGGTTATGCCATCTACTGCACTGCTTGGCAATTTCAACGACGAAGTGGAATGTGACCTGATGTTCTACAAACAAGAACACAAGCTAGATCATATCATCGATCGTTGCAGTCGATATGCCACTGGAATCGAGATACCAGGCAAAACGGTGACCAGTATCCTAGACGCATACCGTCAGTGCTGGATGCAATTTGGACCTGCACAGGTGCTCTACTCCGACGGAGAGGGGGCCCTCAACAACGAAACTGCGAAAGCAGTCCTTAAGGCCAAAGGCACTGAGCTCAGGATACGCGCGCGTGGACAACATGCTACGACGACCGAAGCCAGAAATGACAGACTGCGCCATCTACTTCATTTCATGGAAGCTGAATTCAACAGGTTAGACATGCCTCTTGTGTTCACACGGCTACTGCGAGATTCCTTGTTTGCCGCCAGTGCGTTCACCTTCTGCAGCGAGGTGTCCCCATGCAACGCCGTGTTTTGGACGGCAACCAGCGATGCTCCCTGACTTACCTGTTCTGGACCACGAACAGCCGACGGAAACGGCGGATCATTCTCGTGAACACACGATGCGCAGGGCATGCATTGAAGCTATCACACAGGCTACAGCAGTAGCCAAGACCATTCGTGCATTACGCACTAGGACAACTGTTACTGGTCAGCATTACTACGATGAAGGAGATTTCGTTGGTTACCATCGCCCCACAATCACGAAGGACGACTGGGGAGGCTGGAATGGCCCGTTCCCAGTTGTAAGGAACGATCCCGAAAGGGGTCAAGTCATCATTCGAGTGGGAAATCGCGATGTTCAGGTACTATACGGCGATGTACGTCATCCACTGCATATCGAAGCGCCAATGGCCAGAGAAATTGGCTCCGACAACATTGCACTACGGACAGTGTTGACGTTCGTGGCCAGTTTACCACCGGGGAGACCTGCTATGACATTTGGGTATGCACCGACCAAGAAGGGGACGCTTCATATGATGAGTGCAAGCCGTCTATCTCCCAAGGTGCATCCAGCCTTACAGCACCTTATCAGCAACTTCTTCCGCATTGAGAATGTAGTTTCAGTCAGTCTAGCTAGGAGCAGTCATAATATACCCCAGGTTATCTATGCTGACAGTTGCACATTGGTCCACTACGACAGCGATGTGAATCCATGACTTTACTACTATGAAGCAGAAGGCACCGCGTTGGCTATACACGATATAACTGGATCAGCACACTCGAAAATCCAGTGCCTCAAGCCCACCAAACCTCAAGCAGGTTCTGACCAGGACATGACACTATTTGAGGAATTGGCGGGTGCACCGACACCGGATGGAACCGCAAGAGAAGCCTCAGAAGCCGAACCACCACATGATGACGGGCGGCTTCCCACGATCTACGAGAAATCGGAGGCTGATCTCGAGTCACACGTCATGGAAGTGCGGTATGCAGAACTAGAAGATGAAAAGGAACTGCTGGAGGCAACTCCACTAGAAGACCTTTCGCAATGCCCGCGCAGATGGTTCCAGACCAAAGTGCGCTGATCACTGTAGCTGATGAACAGCGGGGACACCTGCCTAAGTGGGGACGCGCACGCGACTCTGGCACCGAGAAGACATATCACGTCCCATTGTATCCCATGGTCGAAGACTGCAGCTACGGACTGGGCTCACACGAAAATGGGCAGCACGTAGAACTCTGCTTCGCGGCAGGAATGTCAAAGGTGGTCCTTTCCGAGCAACAGCGCATGATATTAGATGCCGACCGTGTGACCACTCTGCGAGTGTATGTTACCGCCGCTGCAAAGTGAGCTGCGGCCGTCAAGGGAGACGACGTCCTCGCGAAGGCTGACATCCAGGCGAATCCCGAGAAAGTATCGAAAGCCCTCTACACCGAACTCAAGACATGGTTTGACAACAAATGTTTCAAATGCAAGACATAAGCGTCAAACATCATGACTTCGAGGCATGCGTGCACATGGATGTTTGTGAAAACGAAAAGGGCGAGATGGAACGCACCATCAGATTACGCCTGGTGCTTCGGGGCTTCATGGACCTGGAAGCCTTCGACGTGGAAACCTTTTCGGGAACAGCGCGGCGGTCAAGTCGAAGATCGCTCGCGAGCACGGCGGCGCGCAAGAAGCAATGGATCATTGCTTCCCTCGACATCAACATGTCCTTCCTGAAGGGGTTGACCTACCAGGAACTTGCTGAAGCAACTGGTGAACATGAACGCGCTGCGTGCTTTACTTTGCCGCCTGGATCGACCGCTGTGCTTCGGGCCCCCCCAGGATTCGAACGCTACGACGAGTCAATGCATTGCTTGCAGTGCCCTAAACCAGGCACTGGCACCAAAGACACACCGCGCACTTTCTCACTAAAGCTCAGAAGGGCCACGCGAGGTCTTGGCATCCGACCCGCGTCTTGCGACGAGGAGCTCGAAACGACGAGCAACTTGTTTGCGGTCAAATATGTTGATGCTATCAATATGGCCAGTACTGAGGACACCATTGGCAAGTATGTCAAGTGTGTAGAAGACACATTTGGTAAGTGTAAGCTCAACGAGCACACGTGCACCAGTTGTGCCGTGAGACATACCAAGGATGAGGACGGCAATGTTATTTTGGACCAAGACGAATACATCAAGCAGCTCCGTCCGATGCAACATCCTGAACTCACCGGCGCCGACGCTGGCGCTCAGACATCCAAGATGGTTGCAGACATGTTCGTCAGCCTCAGGGGTGCGCTGGCGCATGCATTAATCACCCAGGTGTGGTTGATGGTGTATGTTGTATTTCTACAACGTGTCCAAGTACCGACCAATATTCAAGTGCGACGACTGAACGCGATCACCAGGAAGCTGCAGGCCTGCCCCAAGAAGATCGTCTATCAGGCAATGACCCTTACGGGCGAGGTTGACCTGTACAGCGACTCAGGTTCTCGACGCCTGAGTGGAGACGCCGACGGCGACGTCAAAGGCTATGGTATTCGCGGGTCGAACCTGCTACGGCGTGGAAAATGCGGGTAAGCCCGTCGTCCACTTGATCGATGCGCACTGCAAGTCTCACCGCTTGCAGGCCAGCTCGAGTTATTCAGCAGAGACTAGCAGTAGCCCATAATTTGGAGGACTGTTATCCCACGATCGTGACTCTGGACGAGCTCCACGCAGGGCCGCTCACGCCCACTCAGTTGAAAGACATACTTGAGTTGGGTGGCCGGAGCATCAAGGTCACTTTGACCATAGATGCTGAGTCTGCTTTTAAGTCCTTGTCAAGCAAAGACTTGAAGAAGCCGACTGCGTGTACCCTTTTAGGACATATCAGTTGGATACGACAGATGATGGAGCGTGGAATCGTGCACTGTATTCAGTGGTGCGACACCCGTGATATGACTGCGGACGGTCACACCAACGTGAGTATCGACAGAGAGATGCTCCTACAGGTCATGGGGGGTGTACAGACCTTCAAACATGACCTAAAAAGTCATACTCCATATCGCGCCGGCCAGACATCTTGTTCTATAGCCGCCTGAGGAGTATCTTTTAAGTACAGAGCGGTGCAGGCGAGGCAACTTGCGCGCGGGTCCACCTTCCTTGCGGCCCCGCCCTTTTGCTGCCCTTTGTACATATTAGCTGCTGTGCCTGCTGTATAGGGGCGGCGGTCTCACGCTTCGTCTCCCTCCCCCCGACTCTAAAGCGAGCTGGGGGACATAAGGAGCAGAAACGAGCGCTTGCCCGCGGCCACGTCGGCTCAAGCGGCCGGCCGCCCATATATGATTGTGCCTCAGTGTGAGGCATGCGATTCGCCATCGAGACCAAAAGGACCTTCCTACTGCTTAAGATGTTACGCCCTCTACTACTGGGACTATCGTTGCTACGGTACAACAGACCTGGTGCTGGGCTTCGCCTGAGGCGAAGCTGCTGGTTGGGCCTCCCAACCCCTTTCAAACTCCAGGGTCTCCAGGGAGACGCCGAGGAGCTCGCGCACCCCCCCTCTCGAAAACGATGTTTTGGAACCTCGGGGGGGGGGAGGGGGACAACCATTCATCTCACACGCCATCTCACCCCTGGCATGCGGGGGCCGGCGAACTCCTTAGGCCCCGACGGAGCTCTCGTGAGGCCTACTTTGGGAGACTACTAGTAGGAGGAGTATCAGTAGACGAGGAAGACGTGATGTTGGGCCGTAGTGGGCTTTTGTTGGAGCCGTTCGTTCTTTCTGTTCGGATCGGATTTCGATCATCAGGATTTGAGTTTGCGTTTTGAGGCGCCGCTCACGGCCTGGCTGCGTTTCAGGTTTTCGCGATGGGCTCGGATTCTGAGTGGAACGCTTGGCGTTGCGTTGTGGACGGCCTGTAAGGTCCCATCAACACCAACGTCCTTGGTACCATCACCCACATGCCGCCAGAGTTGCTGATGGACAACCTGCTGGCCCCCGTCGCCGATGTGTGGGCCTTCGGCATCATCGGGTGGGAGACGTACTACGGTAAAAAGATTTACTGCGGCAAATCGCCCCCCCAAATCGTCATGACCGTCAAGAAGAACATCCCCCTTGAGTGGCCAGCCGAAGCCCCCCAAGAGTTTGTGTCCTTGATGAAGAAGGCCTTAGAGTCGGAACGCTCGCTCTCCGTACACACCCTGACACAGTTTCTTCTTCGTCTGTTGGCTTGTATGCTTCGTGTACCCACTTCGTGTTCTTCGCACGCTGGCCTTGTATTATTGGTATGCGCACCTTGTGTCGAGTGGCCCCACCCTGCCCGACCCCCACGGACGATCGGCGACGCGCGCCTCCCGCTGGGGCAGGCAGGCCTGCAGGCAGGCAGGCTGAGAGGCAGGCAGGCAGGCAGGCGAGCAGTCGGCACGGCACCGGAGCAGCTCGCGCCGCGGCGCGGAGCGGCCCCGGGGCCCCAGCAGCGCACCTGGGCGGGAGCAGGGCAGGAGCAGCAGCGCAGAAGACCACCACGGCAGCAGGGGAGCAGCAGCAGCAGCACGGCCCAGACGTGCGCGAGCAGCACGGCAGGGCAGAGGGGCGGCAGAGCAGCAGAGCAGGGCAGGGGCCGCTGGGCGTCTTCGGTGATGTCCGCTTCCTCTGTCATGTTCCCCCTCTCCTGCCCCGCGCCCAGGGTGCCCAGAGCAGAGTGTGCTCGTGATGATGGTCGCAATCTCGGTATAGACTTTGCATGCTAGCTCCTATCCTCTTGGAACTGCGTAGCAGTAGCTGCCTGAACGCCACCATGTCGGGCAGATCGCCCCAGGAATCTTATAGATTCTGCTTGCCGCTTGGGGCAAGCATTCCTAGTCCTGGTTTGCCCGGTAAGCCCTGGTAGCCAGTAAGCCTCGCAGATCTGGTCACCGGCAAGCCCAGGTAAGAATTCGTTTTAGTCTCGTTGTTATTTTGCGTGTTCCCCCCCTCCCCCTGGGCTGACTCACAGCAGTGCCATTGGCCTTCGATGATCGCCCTTGTCCGGAGACAATTTTCGAGCTGCTCCTCCTCTTCCTCCTCTGCCCCCTCCTCTCCTTCCCCTTTCTCCTTCCCCCTCGTCCCCTCCTCCATCCCCCTCGTTCCCCTCCTCCTCCTCCTCCTCCTCCTCCTCCTCCTCCTCCTTATCCTTCTCTTTTTCCCACTCCTCCTTGTCCTTCTCCTTTTCCCACTCCTCCTCCTCCCCCTCCTCCCTTGACTCCCTCGACGAGGCGCCGAAGGCGAAGATGATTAGGAGGTGGAGGGTGGGGAATGTTGTGGTTTTGTTTTCTCAGACCCTGGTTTGTTGTCTCGTTTTCTCGTTTTCTCTGCCCCTGGATCGTGGTCTCGTTTTCTCTGACCCTGGTTCGTTCTCTCTCGTTTTCTCGTTTTCTCGACCCCTGGGTCGTGGTATCGTTTTCTGGGACCGTGGTTCGTTTTCTCGTTTTTCTCGGCCCCTGGGTCGTGGTCTCGTTTTCTCTGACCCTGGTTCGGTTTCTCGTTTTCTCGTTTTCTCTGCCCCTGGGTCAAGGTTTCGTTTTCTCAGGCCCTGGTTCGTTTTCTCGGTGTCTCGTTTTTTCGGACCCTCTTTCTCGTTATCTCGGCCCCTGGGTCGTGTCTTCGTTTTCTCTGACCCTGCTTCGTGTTCTCGTTTTCTCTTTTTTTCGCCCCTGGATCGTGCTCTCGTCTTCTATGCCCCTGGTTCGTTTTCTACTTTTCTTGTTCTCTCGGCACCTGGGTCGTGGTTTCGTTCTCTGGGGCCGTGGTGAGTTTTCTCGTTTTCTCGGCCCCTGGGTCGTTGTTTGACCCTGGTTCGTTTTCTCGTTTTCTCGTTATCTCTGCCCCTGGGTAGTGGCTTCGTGTTCTTGGACCATGGTTCGGTTTCTCGTTTATCTGCCCCTGGGTCATGGTTTCGCTTTCTCTGGCTTTGATTTGCTTTCTCGGCCCTTGGTCGTGGTCTCGTTTTCTCGGACCCTGTTTCGGTTTCGCGTTTTCTCGTTTGCTCGGCCCCGTCGTGGTCTCGCTTTCTTCCGATGGTTTGTGTTCTCATTTTCTCGTTTTCTCAGCCCCTGGGTCGTGGTCTCGTTTTCTCGGACCCTTGTGCGTTTTCTCGTTTTCTCGACCCTTGAGTCGTGGTTTCATTGTTTCGGACCCTGGTTCGTTTTCTCGATTTCGCGTGCTCTTGGCCCCTGAGTCATGGTTTCGTTTTCTCTGACCTTGGGTCGTGGTCTCGTTTTTTTCTCGGACCCTGTTTCGGTGTCTTGTTTTCTCGTGTTCTCGGCCCCTGGGTCGTGGTGCCGTTTTCTCGGGCCCTGGTTCGCTTGTTGTCGTTTTCTTCATTTTCTCGGACCTTGGGTAGTGGTCTCGTTTTCTCAGACCCTGGTTCGTTTTCTCGTTCTCTCGGCCCCTGGGTCATAGTCTCATTTTCTCGGACTGGGGTTCGTGTTCTAGTGTTCTCGTGTTCTCGGTCCTTGGGTCGTGGCGTCGTTTTTTCGGGCCCTGGTTCGTTTCTCGCTTTCTCGTTTCCTCGACCCCTGAGTCGTGGTCTCGTTTTCCCTGGCCCTGGTTCGTGTTCTCGTTTTCTCGTTTTCTGGGCCCCTGGGTCGTGGTCGCATTTTCTCGAACCCTTGTTCGTCTTCACGTTTTCTAGTGTTCTCGGCCTCTGGGTTGTGACAAGTTTTCTCGGACTCTGGTTTGTTGTTTCGCTTTCTCGTTTTCTCGGACCTTGAGTCGTGGTTTCGTTTTCTCTGACCCTGGTTCGTTCTCTCTCGTTTTCTCGTGTTCTCTGCCCTTGGGTCGTGTGTTCGTTTTCTCGGACCTTGTTTAGTTGTCTCGTTTTCGCGTGTTCTCGGCCCCTGGATCGTGGTATCGTTCTTTCTCGGACCCTGTTTTTCGGTGTCTCGTTTTCTCGTTTCTCGGCCCCTGGGTCAAGGTTTCGTTTTCTCAGGCCCTGGTTCGTTTTCTCGGTGTCTCGTTTTCTCGCCCCCTGGGTCGTGGTTTTGTGTTCTCGGACCCTGGTTCGTGTTCCAGTGTTCTCGTTTTCTCAGTCCTTCGGTCGTGATGTCGTTTTCTCTGACCCTGGTTCGTTTTCTCGTTGTCTCGACCCCTGAGTCGTGGTCTCGTTTTCTCGGACCCTGTTTCGGTTTCGCGTTTTTCTCGTGTTCTCTGCCCTTGAGTCGTGGTTTCGTTCTCTAGTACCCTGGTTATTTTTCTAGTGTTCTCGCTTTCTCGGCCCCTGGTGTCGTTTCCTCAGCCCCTGGTGTCGTGGTGTTGTTTCCTCGGACCCTGGTGTCGTTTTCTCGCTTTCTCGTTTTCTCGACCCCTGAGTCGTGGTTTCGTTCTCTGGGACCCTGGTTTGTTTTCTCGTCTTCTCGTTTCTCGGCCCCTCAGTCGTGGTTTCGTTTTCCTTGACCCTGATTCGTGTTTCCGTTTTCTCGTGTTCTCGGCCCCTGGGTCAAGGTTTCGTTTTGCTTGACCCAGCTTCGTTTTCTTGTTTTCTCTGCCCCTGAGTCGTGGTTTCGTTTTCCCGGACACTGGTCCAGTTTATCGTTTTCTCGTTTTCTCGGCCCTTGGTTCGTGGTCTCGTTTTCCCTGGCCAGAGGCGCAAGTTGCCCAAACATGCGACCCCCAGGTGTGCAAGCGGCGCCTGGATAATGTCCAAAGGGATGGGATCACCATGCCGAAGCAGCAACAGCAGCGCCAGCGGCCGAGACAGCAGAGCAGCAGCAGCGTAATCCTCACGGGCGGCCCCATATGCGTAAGCGGTGCTCCAAACATGCCCAACGCGGCGGCCCCATAAGCGGGTGAGTATGTTCCAGTGTCAACGCAAGCGAACGAATGCGAACGGATACTAGCAGAAGCCAACGAGCGCAGGTGCAAAATGGGCTCTTTGGGGGTGGCAGGAGGAGGCTCCTTGTTCCCACAGTCTTTCTGTCCTACTGGGGGGTCAGTGTATTCTTCGCGTTCCGATGTGTAGTATTGTATTGTTCTTCCTACATTGAACAGACCGTGTATTCTTCGTAGATTGGCCTTCTTGTCTTCGTATAGTCACCGCGTCGTCTTCGCATCTTGACTTGGTATACTTTGTGCTGACCTTGTATTCTTCGTATATAGACCCTGTATACCTATGCTGACCTTGTATTATTCCCCCTTTCGTATACTGGGGGGGGGCTGGGGGCTGGGGACAGGGGTTTGCTGAAGCCCCAAGAATTTGCTTCCTGGATGAAGGCTTTGGAGTTTGACTACAAGAAGCGCGCGCAGTTCATCGACATCACCAAAGAGTTAGTCTCAATGATTCCGATGGGCCTCTCAGTGTCTGTTGACCCGTCGCAGAATGCGCTGACTAAGTAATCGACGGCCCAACCTGAGCAGATACGCCGGGTATGGTGTCGAGGGGGGGATGGGGAGGCAGGGGGAGAAGGGGGAGGAGGAGCAGGCGGAGGAAGAGTAGAGGAGGAGAAGAAGGAGGAGGACGAGGAGGAGGAGGATGAGGAGGAGGAGGAGAGGAGGAGGAGGCGGAAGAGGAGAAGGAGGAGGAGGAGGAGGAGGGGAAGGCGGATGAGGAGGAGGAGGAGGAGGAGGAGGAGGAGGAGGATAATGATAACTAGGAGAAGGAGGGGGAGGAGGAGAAGGAGGAGGAAGAGGAGGAGGAGAGGGGGGGGAGGGGGAGATCCGCAGTCATTTTAGCTCAAGTCCGTAGCGGTGGCTCGAGGACTAGAGTTTCTTTTTGGCAAGAGGGTTTTGTGGCCCTCGTAGCGAACTGTCAGATTGCTCTCCTGATACTGTAACTCCCGCACTGTACTCTCGTGATAGTGTGGTTCTTGTCTCCCTCGCTTGTGCCAATGGGGCGCAATGTTCACCGACCGTGGGTGCAGCAGACATGGACGCGCTATCACAAGAACTGCGGTATCACCAACAACTTCCATTGGAGAACCACGTGCTGGGCGTGCGGGCGTGACAAAGGGCCTGTGCCTGCTGTTGTGCAACCTCGTGCTCCTGGTGGTGCGTGGATTCAGCTCCCCGCCTGCAGCTTCGAGGCGAGGGAGCGCCCGCTGCTGCTGGTGGCTCCAAGCTCACACCTGAGCGCAAGAGTGCGTTGCCCTGTGTGTTTGCTGAGCGCTTCGAGGCTTGCAGCATCTGGCTCGCTCCTGGGCAGGTGGCCATCATGGCTGAGCGTGCGGCACGTGATGGAGACCCGCTGGCGCTCAGTCGCCAGGCCAAGTAGCGGCACGACACGCTCAAGGATCAGGTCCACAGGGTCAGGCAGCAGTTCAAGACGGCGCAGGAGGCGCTCGCGAAGCAGGCGCTGCGCGTGGGCGAGCTCAAGACGAATTACCTTGAGTTGGAGGCTCAGGAGCGCGAGGCGGCGCGGGTTGCCGCCACAGCGTTCGGCGAGCTGTCTCAAGCTCAACGTCCTCAGCTTATCGATCCTGCCCTTCATCAGCTTGCTGAGTTCGGGCTCGAGCAGAGGGTGTTGGAAACCATCAAGGCTGTGGTGGAGGCGCGGGACAATTCCAAGGCAGAGGCAGAAGCGAAGGCCGAAGCCGAGCAGACGGCCTTTCCACATGAAGACGCCGATGCTGACCTTGATGACGGTGGTGTTGCTGATGCTCCTGCTGGTGCTGCTGTTCAGCCAGGCGTCGTCGGCGGCTCGGGCGGCACAGTGGGCAGCAAACAGGACATCGACATGGACGAGGCGGTCCATATCCTCAAGCAGGGCGACTGGCTCGACCAGTTTGCTGGCGACGGTGATGGCGGCATCGCGCGCTCGCAGATGGAGACAGCCCTTGAGGAGGCCGCCCGAAAATTGCATGGGTAGCCAACGCGATGTCCATGCCGCTGCTGCTCGTTCGCATCGAGTTTCTTGGAGGCTCGTTTACTGGAACGTCACCGATCGAAATGGTTTGGATTTGCTCCTCGCCTCTCCTTCTGTCCTAGGCTCGCAGTTCGTTGCAGCTCAGGAGACCAACGTTTTTGATACGGGCGCTTGGGAACACAAACTTCGTAGACAGGGTTGGCGTGCTCGTTTTTCGAAGGCTCTTACGACGTGT